AGGAAATTTTGCCATTTATTGTCTGTACCAAGCCACATGCTTAGGCTCCTAGCCTGAGCACTCGTTTCCTTTTTTTCACCAATTTCATCATTCTTTGTCTAGAATACGAAAAGGACACTGTCGTGCTTTATTGCACAATTGTCTGTAACAGGTACTACAGAGCTTCACCCTTCTCCTTCCGCAACAGCAGGCACAGTATATCAGGCAGGGCTCACTGGCACTGCTACCACCACATCAAGCACGTTCTACAGCTGCCGGGTCAGGACATCTCCCCTTCTCTCTATACTTTAAACAGAGTTGTTAGCACTGAGAGGCATCAGAAATAGCATTGTTCCTACCAAGTTGTCAGAATTATAAAAACTGGGGGAGATGCTTGCCTCTGCCTCTCCCAACCCTCCTTAAGGCCTAGAGCAAGCTAGATCCTTAAATGTGAGCCCTCCTGGGCAAAGCAGTGTCTCAATTTTTTTTTTTTTTGTTACTGCTTAGTACATATTATTTATCCTCAAAAATAAGAAAAAAAAAAAGCCTGAAAATTAATGGGTAAAATACATATGAGTAATTTTCTTCACATTTTTTAAAATCACATCTTTGGGTATCCAAGTCCAAATGGAAGAACATCTGTTCTTTTTTGCCCTAGTACCACTGTGCTTTTCATAAAACAGCTTAGCTCAGCTTATTCATCCACCCAGCCATGCATCCTATTGCCCATGACTACATTCAGTATGACAGACTTTGCAGCAGTCAGAAGTTTCACCAGGAAACTGACTTTTAAATAAAGTATCTTCCCCATCAGCCTGTCACATCTTGCTTTAAAGGTATTTCTTTACTTTCTAACCCTTTCCCCCTGTGATTAAGTGCATTAGTATCTTAATGAAAATGCATTCTGTTTATTGCCCTCTTGGGAAGCAAGAGGTCATCACACCAAATGCATAAATTGTCATCAGAGACAGTCCGAGCATAATTGCAATTTTGCTGCTCCATGTTTGCTGCACTCAGGGTCCATCAAAGTCCCCTGAAACATGCACAGGTTCTAATAATTAGCATAGAGTCTGCCTGGGACCACAGCATTGATGAAATATTTCAGAGTTAATCACACTTTGTAAACACTGATTTATATTGACTACCTTTCTCCAGACTGATGTCTCCTCATTAAATATCACATTAGTGGATTGCAGGATTGCACAAAGACTCAAATGCTCAGCAACTGCTAATTCAACAGGAAGTAATACTTAAACCACTTACATCTATTGAAAATTGGTTAAGTGTTTATGATGAAGGAGGTCTGCATGGTGCAATGTATATTCTGCCAATACAACCAGCATACTTTGCACAACCTTTTCAGGCCTTTCGGGCTTTCTTCCTCCTGAACATTGCTGCATGACTGACTTAGCAATGCTGGCGAGTAAAACAGATCTATGTCTGAATGCTAATGGTTCTTGTTGACAAAACTCAAACTTCAGTTTAGTCCTCTTCCCCTTCCTTAGCTCCTGAGAAGAAAACTATTTAAGAAACTGAAGGATACGGTGGGTAGGAAATTCAGCGCAACAGTTCCTGCAAAACTTCTTTCCAATATGCGTTAGTGAAGTTAGGAAATAACACTTCTAGAAAGATACATAGGAAAGGATGGTAAGGGCAAGCTTAAAAAAAGATTCACATTATCCTCTCACACTCTAACGAGGCATTCTTAGTGAGGCACAACCACTACAAAGGGAGACCTTCAAAGCCTTTCACAAATGGTATCTAATTAACTTCATCATATTATAGTAATAAATGTATTACCATCCCTATTTAAAAAAAAAGAAACAGGGAATCAGAAATGCTTTGCACAAGATCAAAGATATCTTTGCACAAGGTCAGAAATGATCTTGATCAAAAACAAGATCGAGATTACAACACAAAACTTCAAGCAGCAAAGCTCTGTATCGAGGCAAGTGGAGCACTCCACCATAGCCAGAGCCCTTGTGCAAAGGCACAGATGACAAAGGTACAGATGTCAACACCAAAAAGTAGTATTAAAATCCAGAAAAATATAAGCAAGATTGCTTATTTCCCTAAGTAGACACTTCTAATCCATACTCTTACATTTCAGTTTTGCACAAAATCCTGTGAAACACGGCAAGGGTCTGTAGCATGCAGCACATTATGCACAGACAACGTAACTTATTTTTCATGCAAATTCTTGCCACCTGAAGAACTCTAAAATGAGCTATTATTCTAGTCACTTAGATTCCAGTACTTTAGCTTAGAGGAGGAATCTTCTACCAATTTAGGCTGCTTTACTTTAATGAATTATATTTTACAGCAGATACTCAATCTTAATTGTTGATGTTAGAAAATAAACTTGGGAGATATTGGAAAGAATTCTTCCAATTAACTCAGTAGAGTTACAGTAACTGGACTTACTGCTGCAGCAACGATCCACATCTTACCAATGGCCACAGCTGGTTCCCCTAAAGTGTTTCAGCATTTTAGAATATGGCTAGACAGCAGTAAGAGTTTGAGGAAACTAACATTTTGTTATCACTTCATATATGAATGCAGTATTTCATCAACTATCCCCATGGATAGACTTTATCTCTGTCAATGAGCTTTTCCTAAAAAAAACCCCAACCAACCAACCAAAAAAACTAACCAAAAAAAAAAAAAAACCACCCCACAATTCATGGAATTTTGCAACGGATATGTACCTGGATATATATCATATTCAAAATGTGTTTTACCTAGCACTCAAAGTATTAGTGGACTCATTTTTGGTAAAAACCTAAATGTACTGCACTTTGCAGGTTCATTAGATTTCTCATAACTTCTTATTTACTTCCATACACTAAAAATAAAGAAACAGAAATTACTTTAAGAAGTCTTTGGGAATCTGTACAATTTCACAGGTCCACTACATCCATTCAAGATGCTCAGATCTGCATTTTATTTCAATGAGGAAGATTCAGAAGGAAGCTCTGCCATTTACTTGTATCCTGCATGATGCTAGAGGCTGAAACTGAGCAGCTAGTAAAAGCTGAGTTTGCCCAGTCCTGTCAACAGTTGAAGAGGTAGCTGTGTTATACAGTGAACAAAATCAACATGGCATCTCTGAGTCTTTAAACAGGGCTGACAAGAATGATCGAGCAATTTATAATATCTCCTGGCTGGTTTTCAGAAAGGACTGGGCTCCGATTACTTATTTCAGAGACTTTTGTACAATTAGTTTGCAGGCAATATAATTTTCTCACTTACTCCTTAATAGAATCGTGCAGCTAGCTGGCTGATAGAATAACAGCGTATACGTAAAACTCCTGCCTGAAGTGCCAGGGGATAATTTGTATATTCCTTTCAGTAGCATAATGGACTTTTACAGTTTGGCAGTTAAAGGGCTGAGTAATGTAAATTAGTATGACATTTGAAAATAAAAATATATGTCAAATCTTCACTCCCCAAACACATTGCCTTGTGCTATAATAATACAATGGGATTTACGCCAGCCTGATTCCCTTTTCTCTCCTCATACACTGAGGAATGTTTATTTAAAAACAGTTCCTTTTTTCTACAAATTTGTTAAATTTTATTCTCTCAGCCAAAAGATGAGAATACTTCTAACACACTGTGCCTATCAAGAGCAACCGGCTCACTAAAAATATGATGCCATTTGATCTTGAGATAGCAGGTGAACTGCTAAAACTTACACTGCATAACCGGCTCTCTGGTTTTAGATGCTTCGGGCTGTCAGATCTTTACACACAGCTCAAGGATACATTAGCCAAGATACCTTTTTTTTTTTTTTCCATCTCCCAGATGAGGTTTGGAGGTTACCTGAATAAAATGTGGAGTCATAGTACAATTTTAATGGTACAGGGACTTACTCGATGGCTTTACAAGCCAGGCAATCGACTGGGCTTAGTCAAGATTCTCGAGACTGTTTTGGCCATTTCTTTGCATCGAAGTGACAGAAGAGAAGGAGTGAGAACCATGACAAAGAAGAGGCCACTAAAAGCACTGGGCCTTATGCCTCGGCATCTTATCCCAAATGAAGTTATTGTCATCAACAGTTACAACTTTAGAACCTCACAGATATCAAGAGTGCAAAGCTGGCTCTAGAAATTGGCTCCACTCTGTGGGACAGGCTGAAACAAGGATCTCTCTTCCAGAAACACTGACAAGAATAGAAGCTGCAGACAGAAATTCTTAGCAGCAGCTTTATTTCCCTTTTCACACTGCGACTTTTGATATTGTAACACTAAAGATGTAAAAGGATTGCTATGAGCTATTGGAATATGCTCAGAAAATCTCCAGACAAGTAAAAGACAGACAAAGACTCAGATACAGGGTGAAAATGTGTTTGGAAAGTGTAGCCATGAGACACTTACAAAAGCAGGAGGAGTGCTGAAGATATCAGTATTGAAACTGTTACTGTGTGGGAACATAGGTCCAGAAGAAAAAAAAGAAAAAAGTCCAAAAAACCAAGGCAAACCAACAGAGGGAAATTAATTATTCCTTTAATATAATAATTTTATGCTATAATCAGCTCATGAAACTGTATTTCAGTATCTCTTTATATTCAATAAAGCCCCATTTTTCTCCAAAACTTTCCCTTTGAGCTTCTGTAACCTGGTATCTTTTTTCAAAAATTTCTATTTAAAAAGCAAGTGTTCTCATTATTC